GCTGAATTTGCATGTTCTCCAGATGTTGCATTGGTCACCCTTAAGGGTCAGTTCCTGGAGCAATCGCTGGCTGAGGGGCTTTGATCAGGGGCCCGATGGTGACATCATCACAGGCACAGCATCCAAACCCACTGAGCCACCCCCCACTTCTCTATCCCCCCCCCCCCACACACTTCCTTTACTGTATCTGCACAATAGCAAAGATGCTTCATGGAGTGGAAATCTTACTGAATCTCAAGGGAAGACATACAATGTCAATGTCGCTGACCTTCCCTTCAAGGAGCTTCGCCTTTCAGCCCAACCCAAACCGGCATTTACAGCAGCACCAGCTAAGAACGGGACACGTCAAAAACCCTGGATCCAGACTGACACCACATCCTAAAAACATCATTTACATGAAGTAGGAATAAATGATTGCTGATGTCATTAAAATTAGAAATGCATTAAAATGCCTTTCAGCATCTCCGGTGAAAAGCTGAATTATCAGTCCATTGTAAAGTATTACTTAAAAAAAAAAAAGAAAACGCTCGGAGATATTTTTTTTTTCATAAATAACTGCTTTTTTCATGCTGCTGCATTGTGGAGTGTTGAGAAGGCAGTGCAGAGTCTGATTGGATCTGTGAGTTCTGTAGGGCTTTGCACCCAAGATACCAGAACAATACAGAAGAAAATTATCCTTTAGATGGTCAGCAACATATTGCGAGCCTGCCACGAATAAACAGTAGGACACAGAAAAAGAACAAAAAGCAGATGTGCTGTTAGGAAGTATGCAATGCTGTGTATCCTGTATAGATAATAATAGATTAGACTCATAATGATCCAGTGCTGAGGTACTTTTCATTCTCCTGAATGGCCATCAGGTCTCTTATCTGTACTTAATAATGTACACATACCTCCATTACTGAGAGCCTTAACCACCAAGGTTACTGTCAGGGAAGCAGGCTGATAAATGACGCCTACAGTATTTCCTGTAGTTATTCACTGCAGTACTGTGGAGCCTCAGATTAAAATCCATGCTCCATTAGACATCAGGAGGAGGTGTGTGGATTCCACACCAAAAAAAGCGGACATGTCATGACTTACCTCCTGGACGAGCACGCAATTACTTTTTAATGATTTCATGGTACCTCATTAGAGGAGCAGGAATCACAGAGACCTCGGGAAGTAATCTCACATACTGAACACAGGACCCAGTCCAGGATGGTCAACTAACACTGAAACTTGTACACGAGGAAAAAAAAATCTATTATTAGTGTAACTTGAAGAGCTTTTTATCATAGTTATGACCACAGCAAAGAAAGAACAGCAGTGTGAAATACGGTAATATTGCAACACTGGCTGTCACTCTTGCCAAGGCAGCATGTGGCTTAGCAGGTCACTGGGGGGCAGCAGAGTGATGTCACCATTGAGCCCTTGAGCAAGACCTTTAACCCCAATTGCTCACATGATTGGCTGACCCACCTTTCTTATTCATATGTTGCTTTGGATAAAAGCTTCCACTAAGCTTAGAAAAGTTACACCAGGGGTGTTTCTCAATATACATATTTGACCATACTTGTCCTCTTGTATTTATGTCATCTTCCCTTGCCGAAGACCTGTTCTAATATTCGAGAACAGAACTACAGAATACAGTAAAAATCCCCAGATGTTGTGCCTGCCCAACCTTAAATATCAAGGACACGCCAATTGCATCCTCGCCGAATGAGACCAATCCCATGACTCATTGCACCCCAAGTTTGTTCTTGGGAGGCAAGTTCGCAGACCGGTATTGCCAAGACCACAAATACGGTCCTTGCATTCTCGGTGTTGAGAAACATCCCATGTTTCCTTCTGTATATTCATTTTGTGTTATAACTGAGTTTTTTGTACAATAAGCACAAAAAGTACAATGAGTACAATAAGGGTATGGCTAGAAATTCTGGGCCTCCTGCTAGGGTTGGAACTTTTAATTTGAAAAAATACGGTTCCCACACAGTATAATCTGTTGGGCGGGCAGAGCCATGGAGGAATCTGGGGCATCTATAAAGTGCTGCCCCCCCTGAATCTGCCAGGGTGACAATGCCCCTCTGATGCCCCTGACCATATGCTGAGCTACTCTAGCCAATCCAAAATTAAAGTACAGTTTAGCAGCTACGGCCCAGGGCTATCAGAGGGCTGCACTCGGTTGTTGGCTGTTGTCTCACTCTCCAGGCTTGACAGTATGAACCCTGTTCACACTCTCTGTGTGGCACCTTTTCTCCAAATGGTGTGCAGTGTCTCCCATAGCCCAAAGACATGCAGTTGGGTGCATTTACTCCTGTGTTAGTCATGTATTTTAGTGTCTCTTAGTCCTGTGCTTCTTGCTCAGTCATTGTTTCCTTGTCTGCATTGCTACCCTGCCTGTTTCCCCACAATAAACACCCCTGCAAGGGGTTACCTTACATACAGCCTGCATTTGGGTCGTTGCTATGTTACACCAGGAACCGTTCATCCACTTTCATCCACCATGAACCCAGAAAGAGAAAGTAATTCCCTGGAAACACACTTAAGTGCAATATTTGTAACTAATTTATACCCATTTTTAAAGACGTTTATACAAACCACGTACTATGCGATCAGTGACGTTTTCAAAATATATCTCTACTCAAATCAACGAATGCGCACATACAAGCTGAAGGAAAATACCATAGTAATGCACATAGCCATTAAAAAAAAACATAAAATATCAATTGCATCTCACGGGTCTTTTAGAATTTGTATTTTTTGCTTAAATCCGTTTCCAGTATTTCCAGTTTTTTGCTCATGCGTTTGTTATTTTGGTCACAGTTCATCTATTGCCTTAACTATGGACGATACTTGTTTTGTTTTCAGACTAAAGGAGGTGAATTTTATGTTACTGCTCAATGCAGCGAGCTTTAGCGCCTCAACGGGGAAGCCGTGTAATGTGGAGCGAATAGACATCACTTACCGGGCGGCCCTCCTGAGACAAGAGCTCCGTGAGTGTTTGCTTCTCAAGAAAATAATAAAGAAATAAACAAAGCGCAAATACTAGAATCGGCAGTCATAAGTTCATTAGACACCATTTCACACATTGTCTTGCAGGTCAAAGTTTATATATATTTTGTAAAGGAAAAATGGGCCTGGAAGACAGGAAAATGTACAATGGCGCAAACACGGTCAGTGATGCAATTTAATTAAGCTTTTATCGTGTTATAATTATGTGTTCCAGGGTGTTCTCTGTAAATTAAAACATATGCAGGACTTCATTCTAAGCAGGCATACTTACTTAACAGATCTTCAAAAGTGCAATTTAGCATATAGAAAGATGTGGTTCAATTTTCCTAAGTTCACTTAAGATATTACTATTAATTGCTCGTGACATATCATGCAACGCTAATCTATAATTTAGATTATTACTACGGGGTTGTCTTTTCCCAGAAGGCTTTGTAGCATTTCTCCTGTAAGCTTGTCTTTGTTGTTCTGGCGTGCTGGTTAGGGCGCTACGTTCGTTGCCTTCAGACTGCATTTCTCAATGTCACCGGTAAGAGTTGTTTTCAGATTGAGACGTCCGATTGATCAATGACACTGACTGAATTATTTACTGCTGCCTATTTTTCTTATTTTCAAACAGACAAGATTCAGTGCCAGCAGTTAAAAAGTTGTGTTACTACAAGAATAGGTAGACGACACTTATTGTTGCTATGCCACATTTTACTACCATGTAAGTAATCGTTATATTTAATAGGCTTACCTTTTCATTTGGCCTAATAAGCAACATTCATGTTTGAACAAATACTCCTTATTCATATGTTTCAGAATTTCGGAAAATAACATTTAAAAGAAAAGGGAAAGTGCCACCTGCTCATTAGTGAATACACAAAGCATAGCCAAGCATTCAAAAAATAGCTGCCGCGGATTGTGATTTATTTTAATTGCATAGGTATAATCACAAAAATTCTAACACTAACACTAATTATTAAACTGTCACATTATATTTAACTACCTGTAAAGTAGAGAAAACGTTTTCTGTGAACTGTTTTACTCACCCTATAAGAAGCTTTTAACAATAATAATAATAATAATTATTATTATTATTATTATTCCCCACTCAACCCTAAAGTGGAAAGTTTTCTCTGTGTGCAAAACATCCATAATAAATTTGGTTAAGCGAGTCCCGAATTCATTATTGGGCTTAGGTTACATGCCACAAGTAGCCTACCATTTCAGAAGCTGGAGAAGAAATATCCTTGTTAAGTTAATTATTGAAATGTACGCCTTACAATAAAAATGCCTCATGGTTGTCATTTCATTACTTTGAAACACAGTTACCGTCGGAACATGTAACTTAGCACCCGTCATATATTCATCTGCTTTTAAGGTTATCCTTGGGAGCGGAAACCATAAGCTACTATTTAAATACCATCTAAAACAGGATAGGGAAATACGTCTGCAAAATTCCTTATATCACAAACAGTACTGATACACACGTTAATTTTTTAACAGTCGATTACTCCAGAATTCACTTAAGATATAGCCCATAGACTACCTTTCCCGACATATAGCATATTTGTCCCCCTTTTTTAAATGAAATATTGAAACACAAAGTTGTAATAAACAACGGTTTCTTTCTAAACATAATTTACGAAATATGCACATATAGTTAAATACTTTGGTGGATTGCCGATCATTTTTAATGTGCCCCAGTGCCCTCGGAACGAACTGCCAAGTTACACTTTCCTTTGATTTCGCTCTTATTACATCGAGGCAATTTTATGTGGGATGGCTGGCATATAAAGATCAGTGAGAAGTCCGGGAAGCCACTTGCCTCCCGATGCAGAAAGAAGCATCAAATATATAGGGCACCATCAATATTTTGTACAGATGATAGGACTCGGGGATTAAATACTAGTCTTACCTAATAATAACTAAATATAGATAGTAAATTATAAATATAAATTTATTTTCTACGAATGAAGAAAAGAAAGCGTATCAAATTCATTGTGGAGGCTAGTAAACTGGCATCGCAAGGATCGTCGCGTATTTGAAAGGGTCGAACGCGTTACATTTGTGCTGTCAGATAACACCCTCTAGTGTTAGGAAGCCCGGCGTTTGAGCGCGTCTCCGCCGGGACCGGACCATCGTCGGCTGCATCCAGTCCGGGATTCGCGCAATAGACACAGCGGAATAGTCGGTCGTTCGCGTGTCTTGCCGGTATAATCGGTGCTGGCAAATACCAAAAACTTAACTGGATTTAAAGAGCCGTGTGAGCAGTGGGCTTCATTCAGTCCTTTAGTTGCGAGTAAAGTTGTGTGCGGCGTTGAGGTGTCGTAGATGCGCTCAGCCGTTTATTCGGCGTGTTTTGTGGATTAAAGGTAGTTTGCGTTTCTCGGAATTGCACGCTCTCCAAGACATAACTTTCCCCCCCCCCACAGCAGCCGCATTTGCGCTCCGGCGGAGCGGGCGATGGGTCGCTTTCTCATACCGCAGCCGGTGAACGCGTTAGTGGCAAAAGAGCGTGTTGATAGCGGCGAGAAAGGCAGCTGTGCCGTTCTTTAAGACCGGAAGGATTAACAAAATCACACATTTAAGGGATTACACGTGGATACAGATGCGTATCGTACCCGGATTGCACTGTCGCCCGGTGCTTTTTTCAGAGATGACTTTTGGAGTAAAAATGTGCCTCTTTTTCGCCTTGCCTGTGGTGGTCTTCGCGGACTCCAGTCATAACAATCAAGGTAACTTTATGCTCTTTTACATTTTATTTCCTCGGTTGCTCGCCTTATGAACATGGGCTGTAAGTTTAATGCGATGCGCCTAGGTTTTGCTTGATTCACAGTTAAGAGTTGAAGTGTGCGTCACGTAGAGTTATTTTACGATTTACTAAGATTTGACACTAAGATATGAAACTTTAAAAGGACACGTGCGGGCTCTAATGTACGCGTTGTATGAGCGGGGCGCACTTTTCATCTTTTCATATTTTTAATATCAAATTTGCGAGTCTTACGTATTCTACCATCATCTGTCCTACTGCCACGATTTCCTCAAAACTGAGAAACATTCAACTTGTATTGGCTTATATGGCGGTTATATGTACATGCAACCATCACAGGTGTAAATTTAAACGATATTATGGTCTGTCTGGGCGTCACTTGCAACGATGCGATATTTTGTAATGCTGCAGCGTCAATGCACAGTTTTACCCACGGCATGTGGTCTATACATCGATAGCATCATAATTATTTATTATTAATTAATTACTAATTGATCTGATTGATACATTACCACCAGGCATGTTTAGACATATAAACCTTCTAAGATTAAATCTTTGACACATTGCACAGGAAATTCCCAAAGTCCAGTTACCCTTTCTGCACATACATAATGAATATGTATTGGTTATGACAGCACTCCTTTTTTTCTGAATTATTTCCAACATTTTTGTCGTCATTGACGAAATTGAGGTCGTGTACCTATATTTAAAAGTTATATCATGTATTTGGATTAATACGGCTCGTGTGATGAATACTGAAGTACATCCATTACATATATTACTAGATGATTACTCTCCAAACTACTAATCAGCTGGTTGATTCCACACAATAACATGTAATTGGGAGGGGAAAAAAACATGCTTCATAAGCGACTTGTTTTTTCTTTTTCTTTTTTTAAATTGATTAAAAACTAAATAGGGCAGTTTATAAAATTGGAGTGTGTATCTTTAAATAAGTTCTGAAGTTAAGTCTACAAGAAATAAACTGTTTTACAAAGGTAAAATCTCAACTGTTATCAATTCTGCAAAGAGGGGATAAAAAGGAAAAGTCACAGTAATATATGTATTAGAATCCCACAGTTCCATTACAATTCATTGACCCCAATCAGCCCCCAATCACTATTCTTCACAGTAGTGGATGTCTTCCGTATGCACTTTAAATGTGAATACAATACTGGCTGCTGCTTCACTTAGGTCAGAACATAGACAGTAGCATTACCAAAGTAAGGGCAAGAGATACTGAATAGGCATTTTATATCTTATGTACTTTACAGTGGGTTGTATATTTCATATGACTGAAAGGGGCTGAAGGTTTGACTGGTTGTCATACATGTAAACCCATAACTTGATCTATTAAAGTAATCCAGTTATAGTAATATTGTCTTTTAATTTAATAATAATAATAATAATAATTATTATTATTATTATTATTATTAAATGTTAAAGATCTGTTGTCAATTAGATTTCATTATGCATAGTTTTATTGAATCCAGTAATTTATGGTATTTTCACAGAGGGAACCCAAAACAGGAAAAGTCACAGAAGCCAATACTGGGGCACAGTGGCTATTCTCTGACCCATTTGAGTAAAATGGTTGCTGACTACCCCAGTAAAGTTGTGTATGTAGAAATATGGATGATGGGTGCCTTTGTACCTCGTATATAAAGATTTTCTTGGTGTTATCATTGATGTCATTTATATGTAACAAAAAAAAAAAAAGTGATTTATTTCAATATAAATATTACAAAGGACCATAACATTTGTTGACGGTATACTATAGGTTCATAGTTCATTATACTGTTTCTTACTCATTTTTACTTCTTCCTGCCGAGTGAGGATGTCATCAGGGAATTCTAGCACATGAGATTTTATAACTTACTTGCACTGCTATATGAATTTACTTTTTAAATGAATTAAATTAAATTAAGAGTATTTCATTTACAATGGACACATTGAAAAATATACAGATTGCAAATTAAAAATGATTAGACCTTAGTATAATGACTTGTACGGCTCTGTCATCATAAAGTGTAAATGTCTGTTTTTGACCAGATGATGGCAGGCGGTGGGACACACAGAAGGTAAAACGTGTATTCAGAACCATATCATGGTACAGAATTTTGTGTTTATGGATTCATTACCTAGGTCAGCTTTTCCTTTCTTAAGCAGCTTTCACTGCTGTTAAGAAAATTCCAAATTCCGATGTCTCTGAGGTGGTTTTCGAAGGCACAGAAATGCCATGCAGACTGAAGCAGAGGTCTCCTCTTCCCATTTCCCCTCTTCCATCATCAGAGAGTCTCTTAACAAATCTCATAGTGTATTTGATGGGCATGTAAAATTTAACACAGACATTTCAGGACAAGAGGACAAGTATAAAGAAGGAGAGTTGAGCAGAAGGCTGATTGCACATTCATTTCTGAGCCCCTTTACAATGCAGAATCTTCAGGAGATAATCTCTTAGCTGCCTGTCTGTGTTCTGACATTCATATTGTTTTGTAAAATAGACATTACTGACTTTAAAACGACTCCAGAAAGATTAAACATCTGTTTGTAGTACACGGTTAATCCTGAACACCACATCCTTTTCCTAAATTGTTTTTGTAAATTTTTTTGACGGTATGAGGAAATGTGATACATTTGTAATTAGAATTCAGCAGCTGATATTTGGGGTAGGTTCTGAATTTATTTGCGGATGCTAAAGCTTTCTTTTCAGTTTTTGTCTGTAAATTAAACTCCAAGATTGCCTTGTTGACACGAGAGCTAATCATGTTTAGACTATCATTATATATAATCATTTAAATGTATCATCTGTAATGTGAGGCAAAAACTGCACTGAATGACTCGTTAACACCTCTGCGTTAAATGGTTCCGGAATTATGTAATATTGTTAAGCAACAACGACACAGTTTTAAGCAAAATGATCTTGTTAGTACTAGTAATGAACGTCCTTAAGTCAAAAGCGGGGTATTTTTCTAGCTGATGAGCTTTTCTCTGCCTGCAGGTCACATTGTAGATATTAAAAGTACCATTCTCTCCCTAGTTCAGTACTTGGTAATGGCTTCACATTTCCACCAGGATACCAAATTCTGTCCCATGTGTGATATAGTTCTATTTTGACATTGTTTTATGGTCATGATTTTTGTGTTCAACAGCATTGAATGTGTCAGTAGTTCTGTCAGATTAATATATTTTGGCAAATAGGTAGACTGTTAAAATTGTCAGGTTTCTTTTGTAATCGTACACATTACCAGTACAGTATGTCGACTAACTTACTGTCAGAAGAGCCAGTTAAAATGGGAAAGTTGCCTTTAGAATGAAAGGGGACAGGTGTATGTATTAACATATAATATGCTTTCCAGTGTATCTGGGGGACCTGCGAGGGAGAGATCATTTGCTCTGACTGACAATCATTCATTGAACCCTGTTCACCTCCTGGGCCTGCATGTCTGTCATTGCACTGTTATACCGTCACTCTTTAATATGCATCAGCCTCTGCACTCCTAACTTAAAGCTATGAATTTATAGATTTTTTTTGCCATCTAGATGTAGCACACATATATTAGAGGAAAATATTATTTTTGAAGACTAGTTTGTGGTGGATGGAGAAATTTCCGAGTAGTAATTGTGATCAGCGCGGCTTCACAAATATGAAGGGCCTTGCATTGACTAGGGAAATATTGTTATAAAGCCATAAGTTTTTTTTTTTTCTTCAACTTTTATTGTTCACATAAACACATACAGGCCCCAAAAATTCACATACCACACCGTGAAATGAGGCAAAATGTTCCGAAATTGTGCCAGAATATTAGTTAAGAAGTCTAGACATTTTCTAATCTAGACATTTTCTAATAAATTCTATCTAAGTAAAATTTATTATTGCTTCTGAAATATTTTTAGTTTGTTTTTTTAATTATTATGCAGAGAACCACTAAACCGGCCTTGAATAAATTCCAGTGTAGCGGTTCACCTGAAATAAGCGAAACCATGGAATGTGTACATTAGCAGGCATGTCATGATGTGACATCGAATGCACGGCCACACAAGCCGTCTGCTCAACATGTGCCTTCCGTTAAACATGACCTGGCCGAGATGGATGGTGCTAGATGCCGCTGGACTCATCAGTCCTGGCTCAACGACCAATCAGGTCACAGAAGATGTTACCGCGCCGCTTCTCTGCGTGTTTATAACCTTTTACCGACAGCCCACCCCCCCCCCGCAAGCTATTTTTATCCTTCGCTGAAATTCCCTTTGGGGTTACCAGAACTGGCAGAGTCTGCAGCTCTCCCGCCGAGTGTAAACTGTGTGGGGAAAGAAACGGCATTTCGACTCTATTTTTCAAGCATGAACAGGAGAAGAATCACAATAACAAAGGCAGTGTTTTTTATGATTGCCTTTTTTATCTGTAAATGTGTAGATTATATGCAAATAGTTTGACAGCCACTAAGAAACAGAAAATGTAATATTGTGGTCTGTAAATATACTGTGTGATAAGAAGTTAGTCTCTTTCCTATGAGCGTATCCCCAGGCAGCTACACAGGCTTATTGTATTTCACTTTGTTTCTCCATGTAATTTCATAGCTCATCTTTCGGAAAAATGGTTTTCTAAGCAGGTTTGCAGGATTTGCGTTCTATGTAGGCTAATATCATCAGGTATATCGGTGATTATTTTGCCTATTGACTGAATGAAGGAATGAGCATTTCGCTTCACTGGAGACGTTAGCGGTGTGATCTGTCCCCGAGACGAGCTCTACCAGTCATTCCTCCTCCCTGCTCCATATGGCGCCAAGGTAGAGACAGCTTGTAAGAAACGTGTGATATTTTATCCGAATCCGTAATGCTTAATCAGGATAGTGTCACGAGCAATGCTTGTACAAGTGTCCTTTACATATCTGCTGGTTGTCCAGCTCACACCTATGTAATGACTTTTGAAAGGAAACTGCTGCTGGAAATGATTATCCAGAGTGT